ACTGTTAAAGACATTTTAGCCCAAATATAGCATGTTTGCAATTCACGACATTTTGACAAGTTGTATAAAGCACTATCATTGTGGAGATCACTTGATCATGTAATTACAGGGATAAATATTGGAGTGTTAAGGTTTTTATTAATATTGATTCTGATAGGTTCAGAAACTTTGATATAATCATTTTGGTTTTAGAAAGTAATACACAGCTGCTTATTGGGAAAATTATAAGTGAATTACATTAAAAATTCTGAACTTTGTCAAAGGAGACATTTTGTCACAATCATCTTCCAAAAAATGAAAAGGTGATGGATCTGATGCAAAGAATGATATATGCTTATCATTCAAAAAATATTTCTTGTATGAACTTATGGTGACTCACAATTGTACCATTCCACAGTTCTATGGTAGCATTTAAAGAATTTCACATGAAATTGTCACAGTACAAATATGTTCAAACACAAACATACACACACACACTAAAAATGAGGAGATACCAAGTATTCAGTGAGTTTTACATAACTCCTTTGTTAGAAGAGAATAAAACACCTTTAGATAACTGCTGTCCTAAATCTCTTAGATTAATCTAACTTTCCACTGAAGAATCATATTTAAGAAAATGTAACTTTTTAGAATTTTCAAACACTAAGATTTTTTTCATTGACACATTTTCTGACAAGTCTTAGAGATTATGTATCTCTATACATATTAATACAGGAGTAATCTAAGGCAATTAATTTGAAAGTCAGATATATATTTCCAATCATTTTCTTGAAAGATAAAGACATAAACATGTCTGCAGTAAAATAAATTGGTAAAATTTCTTTTTGATTTAATCTTCTCTTTTTTTTTTTTTTTTTTGCGAGAGAGTTTTGCTCTTGCACTCCCAGGCTGGAGTGCAATGGCGTGATCTCGGCTCACTGCAACTGCTGCCTTCTAGGTTCAAGCGATTCTCCTGCCTCAGCCTCCCAAGTATCTGGAATTACAGGCATGTGATACCACGCTTGGCTAATTTTGTATTTTTAGTAGAGATGGGGGTTTCTCCATCTTGGTCAGGCTGGTCTTGAACTCCCAACATCAGGTGATCGGCCCGCCTTGGCCTCCCAGAATGCTGGGATTACAGGTGTGAGCCACCGCACCAGGCCTAATGTTTTCTTGTAAAGGTCATAAGCCTGGCTAAAATTGCTCATTGCATTCCTGAATTTCTGTTTCCCAACAATGTCTCGTTTTACATTTTTCTTTACACAACTTCTGGAATCCTTTTACTTTTCACTCAGTTCTCCTCTTCCCCAACCAAAATGTCTTTTGCTCAGATTAAATTCATTTACCGAAAGGAACAAATACATGATTATTTTCCAGGGGCAGTTTCGTTTGAAAAGAAAACTATTTCCTAAATAAATCTCTAATTGGCCAAACTTCAGACAATCTAACAATCTCACTAGATTTCAAGTCTTTTTCGTGTCTCTTAAAACATATTCCTAGGTAATTGTCTAGTACGGTGGCTTTTCAAACTTTTAAAAGCCATTGAATTCTTTCTTCAAACAAAATTAGGCAGCAGCTCAGTGAGCAAAAGAGCTAAGAGGCTAAAGTGCTCGGCTAAACGGGGATGGGGGCCCAGGACCCTCCCCACTCACCTCTGCTTCTCTCCACCAGCCACTGCTGCAGAAGAACACACCCCAGAACAACTCCAACAAAAGGCCAGCCCATATTTTTACCCAAATGCACACACATAAGGTGAAAGAACAGATGATTCACAAGTAGAGAGCCCATTCTCGGGCATCCAAAAGGAGCCTGTAGATGTCTGCTGCCATAATAAATCGCGTTCGCATATTTAAAAACGTTTCGAGAAGGCGGCAAAACAAGAAGTGAACGGCGTGAAACATCTCAGGTTTGAAACTTTCGTGTGTGATGCGGTTGTGTTATGAAACAAACGTGGTCAACTATGTGTGTTCTTGAGCCAATATCCCTATTACCAGCTCCTTTAGAAGTGGTTTTCCCCTTATTTGGGTTTTCCCTTATTCAAACTTTAAATTTCATCCAACCACCAAAATAGTTTTCTCCTTTGAAACAAGAGTTCCAGGGGTATTTTCCTAGTGAAAAACAATGTGGAAGATGGCCTCCAGAAAGGCCGTGCTCTTCCTCTTTCTGTTGGTCTCCAGGTCTGCCTTTCCCACCCCACAGGTACCTTACACCCAACAGCACCCAAACAGACACTTAGAACTTCCTTCAAAGCTTGTCCCTCCTCGGGAGGCGAGGGTGGGAAAATAAATAAATAAATAAATAATAAAAGAAAAAAAAAAGCTTGTCCCTCCTCTAAGTTAATGGTTCTACCTTCTATCCGGTCACAAAGCTAAAAGTCACCCTAAAGACAGCAGCCATTAAATTACTGGGGCTCTAAGGTATGCATATCATGAAGATCAGGATTTTTCAATTACAATGCTATTGACACTTCCGGCAGGACATCTCTTTGTCATGTGGGCCTATTCTGTGCATTGTAAGATGTTTAGCAGCATCCCAGGCCTTTATACACTAGATGTTAGTAGCACCTACCCTCTGAGGCTTCACAATCAAAAATGTCTCCAGGCATTGCCAGATGTCTGCTAGAGGAAAAATCAACTCCATTTGAGAACCACTGATGTGGACGATCTCTATTCCTCATAATACCCACATGAAGCAGAGGAGGAAACTGGGCCTCTGGAGGAATAAGAGACCTGGACTTGGTTGTGTGAACAGCATGCAGCAGAGCTGGTTTCAAAGTACTGCAAAAGCCATCTCCTCTTCTCCTGCCGCCTTCCAGTACTTAATTCTCCCTTTCACCTAGCTTTTATCTATGCTAATCTCTCATGTGAAATGTCTTTTATGTTTCATTTATTTGTTTTGTAGAGATGAGGTCTTACCATGTTGCCCAGGCTGGCCTTAAACTCCTGGCCTCGGGTGATCCTCCTGCCTCAGCCTCCAAAAGTGCTGGGAGTATAGGGGTGAGCAACTGAGCCTGGCCTATATGAAATGTCTTAATTTTGCTTCCTGCTTTCCGGATTGCCTTAGCTCAGATCTATATTTCTTTCCTAGATATAATTAGGCTCTGAATTTATCTTCCCAATTTCAGTCTCTTTATCTTTCAATCCCTGTCTCACACTATTAGTAGCTAATGTTGTCAAACAGATATTATTGCATAACTGCCCGATTGAGAAACTTCCTGTGCCTTCCCCATTGCCTACAACAGTGGTTCCCAAAGGGTGATCCTGAGACTGGCATCAATGGTATCAACTGGAAATTTCTTAGAAATGCAAATCCTCTTTGGGACGCCGAGGTGCGTGGATCACCTGAGGTCAGGAGTTCAAGACCAGCCTGGCCATCATGGTGAAACCCCATCTTAATTTAAAAAAAAAAAAAAGAAAGAAAGAAATGCAAATCCTTGGGCCCCATTGCAGACCTGAATCAGAAGCTCTTTTTTTTTTTTTTTTGAGACAGAGCCTCTCTCTGTCACCCAGGCTGGAATGCATGCAGTGGCATGATCTCAGCTTACTGCAACCTCTGCCTCTTGGGTTCAAGTGATTCTCATGTCTCAGCCCACATGGTAGCAGGGATTACAGGCACCCGCCACTATGCCTGGCTAAGGTTTAGTAGAGGCAGGGTTTAGCCATGTTGGCCAGGCTGGTCTTGAACTCCTGACCTCAGGTGATCTTCCTGCCCCGGCCTCCCAAAGTGCTGGGATTACAGGTATGAGCCACTGTGCCTGTCCATAAATCAGTTTTAAAACACTCTCCACCAAGTGGTTCAGAGGCTTACTGAAATTTGTGAAACTCTGGCCTACTCTACAAAACTAATGCCTTAGGAAGGCATAGAAACCCTGACTGCCTTTCCTACTGTGATCCTTGTCATTATTTTCTACTCTCCTGTCCCACCGTTGCCCATCCTTCATTTCATTCTTTTGTTAGCTATCAAACCTGCATTTGTCTTTGTGTTCTAAACACCAACAATATAAGGAAGACAGTCCAGCTCCTAAGTGCCTTGCTGACCTAAGGCTGTGGTGCTCCAGCCACATGACAAACCCTGGAATTAAGTACGCACCATGTCATTTTAAGTGACAAGCCTCTGCCACAGCATCTCCTTCTTCCTGGTGAATTCCTATGTCTTTGGTGGCTCATTCTCAAATGTCCCTTTTCCTGATTTACTCAGAAGGCCAATCCCTAGGTTCCCTGTGCCTCCACAGCTGTCATTTCGTTTATCCCAAAGTGGCATTCCTGTTTGTTTACCTGTCTCCTAGAATACTCCCAGAATGCAGGTAATATGAGGGAAGAGCCTTTACTCATCTTTGTGTAGGACAGCATTGTGACACTGGCGATAACGCTGGCACACCTCAGAATCATCTCAGAGCTTTTCAAAAATATGAATGCCAGAGTTCACCCATGGACCTACAGAAACTGAGTCTTGCAAATATATACATAAGTATATATATATTTTTAGACGGAGTTTCACTCTTGTTGCCCAGGCTGGAGTGCAATGGAGCAATCTCGGCTCACCACAACCTCTGCCTCCTGGATTCAAGCGATTCTCCTGCCTCAGCCTCCCAAGTAGCTGGGATTACAGGCATGTGTCACCATGCCTGGCTAACTTTGTATTTTCAGGAGAGATGAGGTTTCTCCATGTTGGTCAGGCTGGTCTCGAACTCCCGACCTCAGGTGATCCGCCTGCCTTGGCCTCCCAAAGTGCTGGGATTATAGGTGTGAGCCACCATGGCTGGCCACAAATCCATATTTTTAAATGGCCCCACATCACCATTGCACACTGCTCTGCACAGAGCAGGTATTTAATAGTTCTCCAATGTCTGGTTAATTACTTAGCAAGGCTGCCTGGAGAATCATGTCTACCTTACTTCTCCATCTTTGTGGGTTTTTGGTTTTTGTTTTCTTTTGATTTCAGTTTCTATTTCCTGTAACTTGAAAGTATCTGCATTGGTAACAGCCACACAGCAGTCATTCCTGATAAAAGGCAACATTTTGTTGAGATGATTTTAGCTACTGACCTAATCTCTGGTATTTTAAGGTTAATATTTTTTACAGTCTCAAATATCCAGCGGTAACCTTAAATTAGAGTTACCTGTTAAACAGTTTCTCAAGTATCTTTCAGAATTGCAGTCACTTTACGGGCTAATCCCTCAACAAGTGTCCGTGGCTGGTCACAGTTATTCTGATTAACCTCTAAGTTGATTGTGAGACTTTAAACGGTCTCACCTGTAGTGGACCAAGCCAGCTCAAGTCAACATCCCCCCAGCTGCTAACCCGCGGTAAGGCCGGAGGGCGCCTCAGTGGAGAAAGGACGGGGAAATTCTCTGGGGCGGGCGCAGTCTGCAGCTGATACCGAGAAACCGAAACTCAGCTGTTAAAACCGCTGCCCTTGCACTTTGGAATCGCATCTCGAGACTCGCTAGGCGCCCCAGCCGCATCCCTTAGGCAGCGGCCGGCGGCCCGGGACCTGCGGGCTGTGAACCATGTATACCCGCAGCAGAGTGGTGAGCTCCGGGCTCGGCGCCTCCCCGGCCTCCCGCCCGGCCCGGGACCCCCGGGACCCTTATGGGCAGCACGGGGACCTGGGCCCGCTGCAAGACCAGAGACGGGGTTTGGAGGCAGCCGCCGAGAGCCCTTCGCGGGAGAGCATCGTGCAAGCGGGTCAGAGGCAGTAAGTGTTTTAACAACCTGTCTTGGGGGCGGGAGCTCCGGCCCTAAACACACTCACAAGCACCTTCATGGTCCGTGGAGTTTGAAACCACAGGGATTTTGACTGAATGAAAAAGCTCATTTGCTTTCATGAAAGCATTCATGCCTTTCCTTATAAATTGAGTCGGCTAGTTTGCAGTCCTGTAGTAAATATTCAGGCCGGTTCCTTCCAGGAACATTACTCACCTGACTTTGGTGACTGACGACAGAATTGAAAGATATGGTGTTTAGAAACCGCCTAGGCGTCCAGTAAGATGTCATTTTCCAGGTATCTCCAGAATTCATACTCCAACCAGTATGGAAATACGTTTTCCCTTACTGTTTTTAAAAACGTGGTGCTCGGCAGGGTGCGTTGGCTCAAGCCTGTAATCCCAGCACTTTGGGAGGCCAGGGTGGGCGGATCACCTAAGGTCAGAAGTTCGAAACCAGCCTGGCCAATATGGTGAAACCCCGTCTTTACTAAAAATAAAAAATGAGCTGGGTGTGGTGGCACGCACCTGTAGTCCCAGCTACTTCGGAGGCTGAGGTGGGAGAATCGCTTGAAACAATGAGGCGGAGGTTGCAGTGAGCTGAGATCACACCATTGCATTCCAGCTTGGGGAACGGAGTGAGACTCTGTCTCAAAACAAAACAAAACAAAAAAAAACTTGGTGCCCTAAGTGGAATTGCTACATCAGACACTAACAGGTAAGGGTCAACAGGAAACGTGACATGGTGTAGAAAATTCCAATTCTGCCTCTAGCTAGGAGCAGGCCTGAATCCCAGCAAGACTCCCAGATAAACTAGCCTCTTACAACCAGAGGAGTGGAGCTGAGAGAGTGAGGAGGTGAGTGACAGTAGTATCTCTTGTCCCCGTTGATGTGTGCTCTATGCAGGAACAGATAGGTAGCATTTATTCCTGGCTTTTGATTCAGGGACTGCAGTGGGTATCCGGGAAACATTCATTATGCAAGTGTCGTGGACCTCTCTTTCCACCCAATGGAATGAACTTCTTTAAGTCAACAGTATGGTTTATCACAATGTCACTGCCTTTAAAGTGCTGCCTCTGTGAACTGGAACTGTCCAAATGGTTTTATTTTTAGTGTCTCCTTTTTCATCAACTTCTAGTTGTGTGAAAGACAAACCCTGGTTGCTAAGAAACAGTATATAACCTTATGACTGATAAACAGCAGATTTTCTTTCATCCCTTAGCTTTTGAAAGTACCAGGCCTTTAATATTATTATTCAGCTTAGGTTCACCCTTATATGGAGCAGATAAGCTGGAAATCAATTAGAGATTGTTGCATTTCTCCCCTCAGAATAATTGGTGTCTCACCACAATAGAAGCAGGCCTTTACTTTGAAATACACACGCTGTAGCACTTAACAGTAACAAAGGTCATAGACATACGGTCTCAGGTCCATGAGTAGTTAATGATGAATACCATTTGCATGACTTTTTAAAAAGCATTTGTTTAGATCTAACCATTTATTTGTAAGCCCATATCATCACATAAGTATTAACAGTTGCATCTGTTTTCTTATTTGGTTGTAATTACCCTGGAATCTTGCTAGAGCAAATTGCTCAGAAAGAGACAGTTTTCTGATTGGTTATCCAGGTTATCCTGCAACTCCTAAAAAGATTTTCAAATAAACCATTAAAAAATACCAGGAAGAGTTTAGTTATCTCTCTCAGAGTCCTCCTTTTTTTTTTTTCATGTTAACCAGTTGCAGTAAGTATAGAATTATATATTCCGTTTTAGGGGGTTGATGTCTGAGACCCTGTTTGGATGAACTTTGAATTCTTCTCGCATCTCCATTAGTTACTTAGATTCACTTTCTCACTTGTTTCCTTTAATGGAGTTGGAAAACCAAGGAAAATGAATGGCAAATAATATCTCAGTAGAATTACCTGCCTGCCCCCTGCCTCAAAATAAAGGCGGCTTTATTTATTTTTGGGTACAAATTAGAAGCACTTTCTGATTTAAAAAAAAATTAAGGAAAAAGGAGGATAGAGTTAATGCTTTAATAGTACAGCTTCATTTGTTCACTCATAATGTGAACTTATTTATATGGTAAAGGATTTGTCTTGTTTTGCATGCATCCTTCCATTAATTTCCTCATGCAGCCCCTGTGTGTGGATTAGGAACATGGGCTCTGATGCCAGGTAGACCTGCGTTCAAGTTCTGATTATGCCGTCATTTTCTCTTTGAACAAGATTCTTAGCTACTTTACGCCTCAGTTTTCCCATTAATATGAGACAATATGAGACAATACCAATTTCATAGGGTTTTAATTTTTCCAGGTGTGTATGCATAAAACATAACTTTGTGCCTGGTAAAGTGCTATGCTGTCACCCTTAAGTCAAGTGTTTATGCCTTGTTAAACACACACACACACACATATACACACACACAGGTTTAAAACACCTACTTGTATGGTCAGGGATAGGGGCTCGTGCCTGTAACCTCAGCACTTTAGGAAGTCAATGTGGGAAGGTTACTTGGGTCCAGGAGTAATATAGGGAGACCCTTGTCTCCACAAAGAAAAAAATTAGCTGGGCGTGGTGGCGGGCACCTGTAATCCCAGCTGCTCAGGAGGCTGAGGTAGAGAATTGCTTGAACCGGGAGGCGGAGGTTGCAGTGAGCCAAGATCACACCACTGCACTCCTTCCTGAGTGACAGAGCGAGATTCCATCTCAAAAGAAAAAAAGAAAAGAAAAAGAACTTTAAGTTAGCTGAGCATGGTGGCACATACCTGTAGTCCCAGCTACTTAAAAGGCTGAGGCAGGAGGATAGCTAGAGCTGAAGACTACAGTGAGCAGTGATTGCACCACTGTACTCTAGCCTGGGCAATTGCACCACTGTACTCCAGCCTGGAGTGAGACCCTGTCTCAAATCAATAATTCCAGAGTGAGACCCTGTCTCAAATCAATCAATCACTCAATCACCTACTTGCATAGAAACAAAATATACTAGTAGAAGTTTATGGCTATCTCTTAATATATTAAATGATTCTGAGTACCTCTGATAGTCTCTCAGACAAGATTGAGTTCTTCATGGAATTTGAATTTACAGTTATTACAAGTATTTACTAGTTCATACTAGCTTTCCCAAATATTTTTATTTGGTGATTTTTATCTTGTTCTTAAATATCGTAAGCTATCTATGCAACAGAGAAGCTTACACAAACTTCTAATCCAAAGTAAACCTTTATTTTTTAATATTCTGCTTATTTGTAGTTTACATTTATATCACATCTAGATAAATATAAGACAAAGACATGCATTTACCTAGTTTTATCCAATTCTGGGAAATGGGGTCTTGCCTGCGCTAGCAATAGAGGGTTTAGTTCACATTCGTGTACTTGTCTATAACCTTACCTGGTCCTTGAGCTTGATGCTGTTTGAAGAAAATACAAAGAGATTTTGAAAATGAACCTATAATGTGGAATTTTATTTTACAGTTAACTTGAGCTGAATTTGTATGTAAATTATGTTAATCTTAACATATTTGTGGCCTACTTCATACTTAGTATTGTAGAGACTTAACTATGAGCAGTAACAAATTAGTACTTATGGCCGGGTGTGATGGCTCACACCTGTAATCCTTGTACTTTCCGAGGCCAAGGAGGAGGGATCACCTGAGGTCGGGAGTTCGAGACCAGCCTGATCAACATGGAGAAACCCCCCCGTCTCTAATAAAAAAAAAAAAATAAATAAAAAGAATTAAAAAAAATGAGCATTTATGTAGTACCTCGTATGTAAAAGCACACTATGTATATTAACTTTTTCAGTCCTCATAACCACGATGGAATAAGAAGATCTCTAGCTTAAAAGAGTGAATTAAAAACTAGGAACAAATACCTATTCAACAAAAACATAAGCCCTTATGAAGCTTACTGTCTAATTGACAGGACAGGCATTTATTAATCATTATGTGAATAAATATGTATACTATAAGGCAGGGGTGTCCAATCTTTTGGCTTCCTGGGGCCACATTGGAAGAAGAATCATCTCAGGGTCCACATAAAATACACAAACAGTAATGATAGTGGATGAGCTAAAAAAAAAAAAAAAAAAGTCACAAAAATTCTCATAATGTTTTACAAAAGTTTATGAATTGTGTTGGGCCGCATTCAAAGCTGTCCTGAGCCACCTGGGCTACATGCGCCTTGTGGGCCCTGAGTTCGACAAGCTTCCAAGGAAAGCCAGGGTCTGAGCTGGTTTTGGGAGCAGGAAAATCTTTCCTCAGACGTGACATTTGAGCTTTGGTCTATAGGATAAGTAGGAGTTGTGTAGTTTTTTTTCCTGATGCCAAATATGTCATTCTAACACCAACTAACTCTGACCCCAGTAGGTGTCCCACAGTTCCATTCTAACACTACTCAGAGTTAGTGCGGACCCCACAAATTAAGGGCTCAGTCTCACAAGACTGCCCCCCACTTCAGACTTCGCACACTGGCTGCAAATTGATTCTCCAGGCTACCTGTACTGCGCAGCAGACTACAAATCTGGGAGCTCCTGTGCATCTCTCCTTCCCAAGTTTTGATAATTCACTGGAGTGACTCACAAAACTCACAGAAATCACTATATTTTTAGTGACAGGCTTATCATAAAGGATACAACTCAGTCAAGTGGAAGAGATGTGTAAGGCATCTCTTGGGGAATGAAGGGATATGTAGCGGGGTGTGAAGAGTTTCTAGACTCTAGGCAGATACTTTGATGTGTTCACCAACCTGGAAGACCACCAAATCTTATGGTTTGAAAACTTTTATTGAGGATGTATTACCTAGGCATAATTGATTAAATCAGTGGCTATCAGTGATTAAATCTCCAGCCCCTTCTTCTCCCCAGAAATTGAGATGGGGCTGAAAGTTTTAACCCTCCAATCCCATAGTTGATTTTTCTAGATACCAGTCTGGGTTCTTAAGCACCAACAGTCATTAGCATACAAAAGACACTTAGCACTGTGGGAAATGCCAG